TAAAGAAAGTTAAACGATTCTTATTTTTTAAAGAAATAAAATGAATTGTTAAAAATTTTGATTCCTTTTCCATAATATGCTTTCAGCAAGTTACTGTATTTCAAAATGTTCTCATATTGAAATTTCAAATTTCATTTCGATCTACCTTCCCAAATTCCATTACATCTTGGAAATTTTCAACTTCAGAATTATATGAGACCCACAACCCTATTTACAAATTATGAAGTAAACATTTTTAATGATAAGAATCTCTGAATTCAATTAAATAATCAGCTTCATTTCCATTAACGACGAAAGGGTTAAATCGGAAATTTTTTTCTATTTTTGAGATTTAAAAACTTATCAAATGGCTTTTCAACACTGTTAATTGTACCAATTAAGCAAAAGGCAACCATGCAATTTTAATCTCGGATTTGAATTTCAACTAGTTTCAAGAAATTTTGTTGTCAGTATCGGCGTCGTATAGTTAATGAAACTTCTAGAAATATACAGTAGATTTATTGATCAAAATTTGTCATGTGACGTACGTAATAATGAAAACAAAACATTTACTTCTTTCAACTTCCTGTAGTTTGTAGGTAAGACAGATGTGGTTAAGGTGGTAATAAATATTTCAGATAGGGATGATAAACGGTTCCAAATGATTTTAAACAAATTTATAAATTTTAGTTATATATAGAAAATTCTAATCGCTTTTCGCTAATATGTGATGACCCGTGTTAAAAAATTTGTTTTAAATGAGGTCGATTTTTCAAAATTTTTTTATTGGTCTACTTGACTGATTACAGTCATGTGCCTTAGAAACCAAAAATAGTTAAAATTTCGGATTTCCCCCTTTTTTACTTAGAGAATTTTCCTTATTTTGAGATTAAAATTATTTGGATATGTTTGATAGCAAATAAATTCCAAACGTTAAAATTACTCTAATTATATTTGATTGTCCTTCGGACAATTAAATACTAGGCATATCAAATGCATATTGATGACTCAATAGGATTCTGCGTTGCTAATGTCATATCACCGTGTTTCACAAAAATGAACACTAAAAAAAATCGCACAATAAAAAATTAAACATAAATTAATAAATTATGATTTTTATTATAATGCTTCGGACTAGAACGGTTACCGTTCCCTAGTTTTACCAAAATTTTGTACTGTATGCCCTAACGCTGAAAATAATAATTATTATGATCGGCAATTGCGCCAATTATCACAACATTTTAACCTTTTTGTAAATTAACATCTGATTTTACATTTTTTAAGATATGATCAGCATGCATGTGACCTAGTGCTCGTATATATTGCAGAATTTTGACTTCCAAGAAAATTTCACAGAAATTTACTTTCATAAGTAGCCCTCGAAGTATACCGCAACCACCTATTTTTTTTCCGTAAGGAATTCATGACAGTATGAATTTACCGACTGCATGGAACATTAATGATAAATCTGATTATTTAAGCATAAATTCAGACGGACTTGGAGTGTATTATATGGGTGAATAATTTCATAAGTTATAATTTCGCAAATTATATAGTAAATTATTTCAATTATGCGTATTGCATAACAACCTAACATAAAGGATTATGACATTTTTATTTCAAATACAAAGGACCAGGTGTAGAACAGGATACTGCTTTAATTTGAGCAAACCATTCAATTCCTCTACAGCGTAATTTATTTTATTTTGAAGTTGAAATTATAAATAAAGGAAAAAATGTGTATGCTGCAATTTTGGATATATATAATCATTTTATGTCATAAATAGAATTAGTTTATTTATAATTTTCTGATTAATTTTCAAAAGAGCGATTGGTGTCAGATTTTGCACAAAGATGGTTAATTTAAATAGAATGCCCGGTAATGCAAACTCATTTTTTATCATTTATTAATTTATGGATAAAATTATTCATTGTTATATGTAATACGTGTAGGATGGGAACATGATTCGTGGGGTTATCATGGGGATGATGGAAAAATTTTTAATTGTAGTTGTGGAATAGGCATACAGTACGGACCAATGTTTACAACTGGCGATATTATCGGATGTTGTTTAAATCTTAAAAATAATATGATATTCTATACTAAAAATGGAGTACAACTTGGTATTTATATTTTAATAACAAGATTTAATTTTTAAAATAAGTGGATACAGAATTGATAATTTATAACATATTCCAAGGCATTGCATTTCAAGATTTGAAAGATTTTTTGTATCCTTGTGTTGGAATGTTTTCGCAAGACGGATTCATAGAAGTTAACTTTGGCCATAAGAAGTTCAAATATGCAGGTAAGGTATTTTTATTTATCATTTAATAGCGTCTTATTTCTTTTAATATTTTACTCATTCAATTGGAATATTATTATTTATATGAATAGCAATGTTTGGTGATGATATTGATGAATCTTTTAAGGAAAAATGGATTAAAGTTATAAATTCATATGATGATGAATTAATAAATCAAAAAATTGACAATTCTGCAGATTTAAACCAACCATTAGAAACTAAATTAAATATTGCAGGTTCAGAGGAAAATTTTATTTTGTTATGGGCAAATATGAACAAGCAGTTGCAGATTTGACGAAGTTACTAGAACTTGAACCATGTGATATATTTGCACTAAGATATCGAGGTGAAATCTTTCATATGATGGATAGGTATGAAGAATCGCTTGCAGATTTAAAAAAATTATTAGAAATCAATGCAGATTATGCATGGGCATTAAAGGCAATTGAAGAAGTTACTAGGAAGTAAGTGTATTAAATTCATTTTAAAATACAAATTGTAAATATATTACTTATCATTTAATATTGTTTCTATAATTTTAGGAAGTAAGAATTTCATCTATTTAACTTATTATAATCAAATACAGATCAATCATGTTCAAATTAAATTATTAGGTAGTGAGTAACATTTAAGACCAATTCTATGATTTTACATTAAAAAATGGCTTATTTTGTAAACGTTCACCAATTAATTACTTAAATTACCAGCATGTGAGTCATCATTTTTAAAAAATCAAAGCTATATAACGATTATTTGATTAAATAACTCTATTTCTCTAAATATATTAACAGGGAGTGAGTATATATTATTTAAAATCGGACTTTTATTACGTATTCATCATTTGTTTTTAAACTAATTATAATTACCAGGATGTGAGTATATTAATAAAGCTTTTTATAAAGATTTTCATTAATTTCTCTAACCAGTCATTGATTTTATTACTCATTTAGGATGTAATTAATTTTAAAGTTATTTATTATTTTGCAATAAATATCACTTTGTTTAATTTTTTTAATTTACACATTGATTAAATTAATAGGTGAGTTTATTTGATTTACAATTGTTTTTTATAATTAGAGTTCATGGTTTAATCATTATAAAACTTTCATTTTTATTCAAATACTTATCAGGGAGTAAGTATATTATTGAAGTTTTATAATAATCATTCACTATTTATTTACAACTTAATTAAAATTATCAGGATGTAAGTATTTTATTTTGAAACATTAATTGTTCTTATTAAAATATTATTAATTTTGATTTTTAATTAATTATTAGAGAGTAAGTTTATATGATACAATTACATTTAAAATTATTAAGAACTTTTATTTGTCTAACTAATACTAATTATTAGGGAGTGAGTATAATAGAATATCATAATAGTTTTATTATTAAATTTCTAATCATCTATAATTCAACTAAATTACCAGAATGAAGTTGTAAGTATATCTTTTTAAATGAAGCTTAATTTATTACTATCTAATTAGATTATTTTATAATTCAATTTAATTATTAGAGAGTAAGTTTATTTTTGAAATTTTATAATAATCTTTCATTAACTTGCTAAACTATCACAATTTGCATAAATTATCAGAATTATGTAAGTATATAATTTGAGTTAATACTTTATCTAATTTATTTAATTTTTAAATTGATTTTTTTTAAATCATTAAATATTTTAAATTAATTATTAATTCTAATTTAAGTTTGTAAGTATATAATATATATTAAGTTTCATAAAATATTTTTAAATAATTATTTTTATACAAATAATTAAATTATCAGAAGGTGAATAATATTTTCTTAATTTAAATTCAAATTATATTACTTACTTATTAAATATAATTACTAGGAATAAGTAAGTATAATTTTATTATCTATTTATTTTCAATATTCTGATTAATCAAAAATGGTTCATTTATATAATTAGGATGTAAGTATATATTTTAAATTTAAATTTTTTTTAATTATGATTAATTTTCATTTTAACTACATTACTAGGAAGTAAGTAATTTTATTATCATATAATTATTTATAATTTAATAATACTTTTCTCTAATCATTAATTTATTTTTCTAGTGAGTAAGTATAATTATATAAAAATAAAAATAAAGTTATTGATCCTACATTTATTTGTAATACTTTAATTCATTGATATATCATGATTATTTAAGATCATAAGTATATAATCTTATAAATGTTTTAAAATAAAGTTATAATTCATTATTCTAATAATAATTAAATTATTAGGAGGTAAATATTTAAATTTGTAACTAATTTAGATCATTTTATTATTAATTCATTATATTTTAATTGATCATATATTAATTATTATCAGTCGGTAAGTATATAATTTTAAATACATTATTTTTAAAAAAATAACAAGTATCAACTGATTAATTAAATTTTAGATTGTAAGTTAATTATTTTAAATTAAAATTTATAAAGATTTCTTAGCTAATATATTATTAATTAATATTTACTGATTTAAATAGACGGTACACATATTATTTAAATTTGAATTTTATGATTTATTATTATAATTATCAATAAATAATACTTTTTTAATCAATAAAATTATTAGACTGTGAGTAATATCATTTTTTAATTAAAGTTTTTATTATTATTCTAATTTATCATTAAATTTAACTAATTCATTAGTTTGTGAGTAAATGGTTTATCATTTTTTAAAATCAAAATTCATTACTAAATGTTAATTAATAACTGAATTAATTTTATAAGCCGGTAATTATTTATATATTAATTTTAATTTTAAATGCAATTTAATTTATTTTAATATTATTTTTTAATTAATTATTAGAGAGTAAGTATATAGTATATTCATATTTATAATAATCTTTTTTTTTATTTATTAATCTTAATTACATTATAAAGAGTTAGTATAATTATTTTAAATAAAAGTTTTTTATTTCTTTGAAATATTTTCTAATCAAGTTATATTATAGAAAGTAAGTATATAATTTAATAATCATATTAAAACTAAAGTTTCAATAATTTTTCAGTAATTTTAGAACAATGCATATTTTTTAAATTATAGAGAGTAAGTATATTATTATTTATAATCAATTTGAAAATAATTTTATCTTTGATTGATTCATTTAATTTAATTTAATTTTAGTCGGTAAGTATATTATTTTATTTAAAAGTTAATATTTTAACTACTAATAATCAATCTAAAAATTAATAAAATTACTAGTGAGTAAGTATAAAGTTGAATAAAAAAATCAAAATTTTATATAATTCTTTAAGTTAATCAATTTATTTAATTAATTATTAGGGAGTAAGTAATATTTTTATGATTTGTTAAAGACATTTTGTTGCTTTAATTTATTAAGTTTCAATTGGTTAAATCATTTAATTATTAGTCGGTATGAATGTTATTTTAAAATTAAAATTTTATTATTATTAAATAATATAATGTTTAATTAATCATTATCTTTAGCCGGTAAGATCATTTAAATAAACTTTTATAATTAAATATACTTTTATTAATTACTAACTATCAATTAATATTTAATATATTATTAGTCGGTAAGTTTATTATTATTTCTAGAATTATGTTTATAAAAGAAATTATTATTATATTGTATTTCACTTTTTTAACCAATTAATTTAAACTACTAGAGAGTAAGTATATAGTTTCATAATTACTTATAAAATTGAATTTTTATTTTTTATTAATAATTATCAATTAAATTATTAGTTTGTAAGTATTATTTTCGAAATCATAATTTATAATAATTTGCCATTAAATAAAATTACAAATTAATTTTAATTATCAGACGGTAAATATTTTAATTTTTAATAATTTAGTATTTAATAATATTTCATTTTTAATTTAATTATTTATTATTTAGGGGGTGAGTATATAATTTAATAATTTATATTAAAATTATAATATTATCAAATTATTTTATTTTCTAAATGATCATTATTTATTATTATTATTAGAATGTAAGTATATTATTTTAAAGGATAGTTTTTTATATCATTAAATATTATTTTATTATATTAATAAATAATTGATTTTTTAGGAAGTAAGTATAAAAATTTAATTTATTAAATTTAAAATATTTTGTAAACTAATATTTTATTCTTATTATTAATTATTATTATTAGCCTGTAAGTATATTATCATAAAAGTTAGAATTTTATTTTTATTTTTAAATAATAATTAATTAATTATTAAATAAATTAAATTTATTAGAAAGTAAGTTTAAAGTTATATATAATATTAAAATTTTTAATATATCATTTAAATATATTTATTTTATTTTATAAAATTTTAATAGCACGTAAGTAAATTTTTTTTAAAATCAATAATTTTAAAATTAATTATTTAAATTAATTACTATTTATAATGAAATTAGGCTGTAAGTCATTCATTAAATTTATTATTAAAATTAATATTAAATAATATTTTTAATCAATAATTAAATTAATAGCAAGTAAATATATTTAAATATTTTTAAAATCTAATTTCATAATTGTATTATTATTAAATAACTTTTCTAATTCTTATCAATTAATTTATCAGTTAGTAAGTATATATTATTTAAATAATATTTTATAATCAAATAATAAATTATTTTTAACCAATTACGATTTTATTTAAATAAAAGTTAGTAAGTATATAATTTTAAAATTAATATAAAAATTGATTAAGATTTTTCTTTTAATAATTATTTTAATTAAATTATTAGCCGGTAAATTTTACTTTTAAAATTATTTATTAAATATTATATTTCTAATATTTACTAATTATTTTTATTAATTAGAAGGTATTATATTTTTATAAATTAATATTTTATAAATTATTATGTCTATTTAATCTAATTAATTATTACTTAATTATATATAGAGTGTAAGTAGTTTATTATTAATTAAAATTATAAAGATTATTAAAATTTTCTTTTTCTTAATTATTAATTAAATCATAATTTGATATATTTATCAGTTTGTAAGTAATTAGTTTAAATCAAGTTTATATTAATTTTATTATAAAATAATATAATTATTAATTTATTAATTACTAATCAACTAATATTAGAATGTAAGTATATATTTTATAATTATTTAATTTAATTTAATTATTGTAATTAAAAAAATAAATTGTAGAAAATGTGAAATATGCAAAGAATTTTATATTACTTGTAATAATGAATGGTGTCAATCTTGTAATTCAAAGCATTTTCAAGATAATTTTAAAAATTGGACTAGTAATGATAAAAAAATTGATGAATTTATTAAAATGATTCAACTTAAAGCAACTAGTTCAAATATGGTAATAGAATGGATTCCATATGAAAGATTGTCAAATAACAAAAAAATGATTGCTAAAGGAGGATTTGGAACTGTATACAAAGCTTATTGGTTAGATGGACCAATCTATTGTTGGGAAGGTGAATGGAAAAGATATGCTTATCGTCCAGTAGCTTTAAAAATCTTAAATAATGCAAATAAATCAGCTCAGTTGTTAAAAGAGATAGGTTATTTATTTTCTAATTAAAATATAATAATTTATAATGTTTTATTTGAATATAATAAAATTTCTTTAATTTTAGGTTGACTTATATGCTAAGATAGTTGATAATACATATTTTATTAGATGTTTAGGATTATCTATAGATAAAGAAACAAATAATTACATGATGGTGATGGAATTTGCACCTAAAGGTTCACTTCAGTTATATTTAAATAAATATAGTATGACATGTAAGGAAAAAATAAATGCATTAATAGATATTAGTATTGGATTAAATATTTTACATAATAGTGATTTAATTCATCGTGATTTTCATCCTGAAAATCTTTTATTTAGTGAAGAAAAAAATTTACTTATTACAGATCTTGGTTTATGTAAACCAGTAAATCAGCATTCAAATTCCAATGATATTTATAGAATTTTACCTTATATTGCTCCTGAAGTTTTAATTAACAAATTATATACTAAGGGGGCTGATATATATTCTTTTGGAATGGTAGCATATGAAATCTTAACAGGTTTTAAACCATTTTATGAAGATTATAAAAATATTTCTGATTATGAACTTAAAATAAAAATTATGCGTGGTTTTCATCCAAAAATTCCATCTTATTTACCAAATTTACTTATTAAATTAATTGAGAAATGTTGGAATAAACAAGTAAATCTAAAACCTACTTCTAAAGAATTATATCAGATTTTAAAAGGATGGTATAATGAAATGTTATGTAACAAAAATACTGAATTTATGAAACAAATTAAGAATGCTGAAAAAGAAATATATATAGATCCTTTACCAAAGAATTGGCATCCAAAAACTTATACTAGTAATTTACTTGACATTTCTGATAGTAATTATTATTTTTAATAATATAATATATTTATTTTATAATTGTTAAAAATCTAATTTATAATCCTTTTGATTCTTAATTTTTAAGATAATCTGGATTGTGAATCTATTTCAGGTATGAATAAGTATTGTTAATTGAATTTAATTTGAAAAGTATTCATTAGTATTTTTTATTGTAGATCTAATATATGATAATTTAGAAATACGTGATAAATGATTTATTAATTATTTTATTTTTAATGACTTATATTTTTAAATTAAATTATTTTATTTATATTTTTTTATAAATTACTTAAAATATATGAATTATCCATAGTGATAAATTTATAGAGATTTTCATATATTTCTTTTTATAATTTGATTCTTTAGTCTATAAAAATTTTATATTTCAAACTACTTATTTAAATAAATAAATAAATTAAAAAAATTGATGTATTAATAATTATTCTTTAACAAGTATTTTGATAAATTTTTAGTAATTTATAATTAAATGTAAAATTTTAGTTTTATTATAATTTTAAATTTTTCTCATTTAATAAAATTGAAGATTATCAAACAAAATTTTTTTAGCAACTTAAATGCTCTATAAATTAATATTAAAGAGACTATTATTACAACTAATAAATATTACATTTCTTAAATTTAAATCTTATCTTATGATCTTCACAAAAAAAAATAATCTAACTGAGTATATATTACTATTAAAAGATTAATTCAACTTATCTCATATTTAAAAAGCAATTTATTTAATAATAAAATTGGCTATTTAGTTTTATATTGACAAAATTTATATAACTATTCAAAAGATAATTATAAATATGAAGTTCATTTCTTTTA